GCGTGCGAGACGATTCGTAATGACTCTCGAAAACAGCACGTAGACGCGGCTCAGAAGGGAAATCGGTCTGTAGTTCTTCAAGAGAGCGTTGTTGCCTTTCTTGAAGAACAAGACCACCGCACTTCTGCTCCACGCCTCCGGAATAGTGCCACCTTGGAGGACGGAATTAAAGAGCTTATGAAGGACTTATGTACCGGTTTTCCACCCGCTTTCAAATGCTCCGCTGTAATTCCATCCTCGCCCGGGAACTTGCCGTTTTTAAGGTGCTGGAGAGCCATTCTAATCTCGCTTATACTGACGTCCGGGATATCATCGGAATAGTGTCGGATAAGACTCGCTCTTGGATCGTTACTCACACTTGCGTGTGGCTCCAACGATGACGTGTACAGCTGCCCATAGAACCTCTCAATCTCACTCAAAATCTCAGGTGTCCCGGAAACGATGCTGCCACGCTCGGTCTTCAGCTTTGACAGTTGGCTCTTTCTGGCAAACAGATCTCTGGCAAAGACTTTGGAGCCCTGTTTCCGCTCGATGGTTTCTTCAATACAAACTGTATTGAAGTTGCGTGAGTCCCGCCGCAATGCATTTGGAGATCTGTCTGTTCAGTTGCCTGTATGCTGTCAAATCTGTTGAAGAATGTAGCTTCATCTCCCGTCTAACAGCCAGTCTAACAGATTAAGAGTGTGGTCGGAGAGTTTTTGTGTTCTTCTGCAGCGGGTCTTGCTGAACTTTGCTCCGACCGCATGGACAGTTTCCACGAGCTTGTCATTCATATTGTCCACTTCATTGCAGTCTTCTAAGCACTGAAAACGGTTTTGTAACTCGAGCTGAAAGGTTTCGGGACTTTGGAACAGAGCACGAGGGGGACGGAGCGTTGACTTCATTAGACGAGACCTCTCCAACTTAACGTTTAGGTTCAGTGTGCCTCTATTCATTCGGTGATCGCTGCCTGTTTTCACCCTCGCGATCACGGAGACATCACTGAACAGTTGTGGTCTGGTCGTCATAATGAAGTCAATCTCATTTTTTTTAGACCGTCGGGGCTCGACCAGGTCCACTTCCTTTGGGGCCGCTTCTGGAAGAAAGAGTTAATCATAAAGAGTCCGTCTTTCTCCATGAAATCGGCCAGCTGCTGGCCCCTTGGGCTCCGTTGCCCTATTCCAAATTTCCCTACTTTCAGCTCACCGTTCTCTCTTGTGCCTAGTTTTGCATTGAAGTCTCCCATTAACACCGTATAGTGGGTTTTGGAGGAACGCATGGCTCTAGAAATATCCTCATACATTTCCGCCACCTCTTCATCGGGATGTGCCGAGGTTGGTGCGTAAACCTGTATGACCTTCAGCGAATACCGACACACTCTCGATCTTTACAACGTTGTTAACGAGAGACTTGTGTACGATAAATCCGACATCTCCTTGGGACAGATGGTCGCCCTCCCAGTGATAGAGCAAGTTGCCGGATTCGAGGATTATCGTGTCCTCCCCCTCTCTTCGGACCTCTGATAATCCTATTATATGCCAGCGTAACTTGTCAATCTCTTCTACCAGCTCCACGATCTTCTCGTCAGTTCTCAGGGTGCGTGCGTTGTATGTTGATAGATTTCTTCTTTCCGGAGATTCTTAGCACCCTCTACCCCGCCGTTACCATGGTCGTCACCTTAGCCAGGAATAGCGGGGCCGCCGGGGACTGGGGGCCGTCTTTTCGTTATCTTCATCATGGGGGGTATTGCCATAGTTGCCAAGCTTGGCGAGCGGGTTGGCAACCTTAGTTTTTTTATTGTAATTTTGCTGTTATCAGGAAGATGCTGCTGCCCATGTCCTGCCTGTTTCCCTTTGTCGCCTTTTACGACACCCATGGGAAGATATGGGGTAGTGGATATTCTTGACCGCCACTACAGGGCTAGTGTATTCACTTTGTCATATTTCAAGAATTACCTTTTGAGTCGGAAAATCAACGAAGTATATTCAGCAAATAATACTATATCATGGTTATGCCCTATCAAGTAAGGTAATTCATTAATATAAACTAAGAACAGAAAGGGACCAAGAACTGAGCCCTGAGGAACACCTATAGATACTATCGATCCGGAAGAACTGCATCCACTAATAACAACTGTTTGCGTTCTATTATTAAGATATGACATAATAAGTTTAAGGGCTATGTTCTTTTAGGACCACGCTCTCACAGACTACTGCATGGAATGGCAGGATTATTCTGCTGTGTTTAGTGTGGTAAAATAAAGTTAACGAGACGATTAGTTTCTAACCGTTATCGTTACAGCCTATTGAAGTCCACCGCTGAACATAGGCCATTCCCATAAATTGCGTCAGAAGGGGGATATTTGCCATAGTTTCCACGCTTGGTAAGCGGGCTAGCAACCGCACTGTTTTGTTTCCCTCTGTCGCCTCTTACGACACCCACGAGTTGATATGGAGTACTATATATTCTTACACCGCTTTTTATTTTAATAGTTTCTTAATCGAGTATAAATGTACTGTATGGTCGCTTGTCATACTTACTAAATATTTTTTAAGAACTCTTGAAATGAATTTAAGTTGGCTAGAATGTGTCAAACATCCAATTATGTAAACCTCTAAGTTATCGTACTTTCCATATGAATCTTGCAAATAGTGCATATTACGCATGCAATGATTATTAAGAAATATCTTAACAACATCTTTAAGTCAAACAAACATTAGGTAGCTTATTTAATATTTAAACAACTAATACGTAAACGTTTATACAGTACACGTATTGCTGTTATGATCCAACACAGTCATCTAGATACTTTTTTATATGTAAAAGATTTTATAGTTTCCTAGATAGAACGTTAGATATTTTAATTCGACAAGATTACTGTTCATTAGGGAACATGAATAAAATAGGCGACTCACACGATAGGCAAAATTGTATATTTAAATGAAAAAAATACAAAATTATTTGGTGGCGATCGTGTCGCGAGCTATCGGCGAGTGCAGGTCTTAGGCGCGGTGGTGAGAAACCCCCCCGCACTTCACATACTCCCCGCGAAGACCATCGGTGCTGTCGTAACGGCGCCGACATTTACGATAGAATAAATTTTTGAAAGAGAATATTTTTTAAATACTAGAAATCCCATTAACATTTCTAATATTCCCGTTAATCTCCTGGTAAGCTTAAAATGCTTGTGTTAGGAGTCATTCACGGCATTAGTCAAATGGCGGATTCGAATTCACAACTTTTTGAGTTCCTACCATGAGGCTAATGTCGCTTCAGTTTTAATAAGCTTCTAATAATGTTTGTAATAAAAAATTGAAATATTGCCTTGACTGTAAGTTATTAATCAATTCCACCCCATCATTACAGTTTATCGAAGTACACTATTGAACATACGCCTCCACATAGATAGCATCATAATAGGGATTTTCCTTCACCGCCGAGCACGTGGTAAATCAGCACTTAAAATTGCAATTAACAATTCCATTGGTGCCGGCGGGGATCGAACCCGGGTTGCTCGCGTAATGTGAAATTTACCGCGAGTGCTAACCATCTGAGCTACCACGGCTCTTTTTGTTACACAATATATCAGGAATATCTAATATAATAAAGATAATCAAGATCCTGAATTTTAATGAGAATCTAATATGTATCGGTGATTTAATTAAAAAACAAACATTTTTGTAATCAATTTTATTCACGTTTGCTTTGGAATTCTTCAAAGTTTATTTTTGGAAAGGTTATTTCCAGCGGTTGACTTAAAAATCTTTTTGATGTGTGATTAGATGTATTTTAATGAACATATGATATGATAAACTGATAAAAAAATTCTAGTTATGTTAATGAAAGAGCATTATGTTGTGTAGATATTTAGGTATAAGTTATTTGCATTGTGCCGTCGACCTTACACGTCCACAATAAGGTGACACTCATTAACGATCACCATATTATGTTTAAAGAAGATATAACAGCGTCTTTATTTATATAGTGTTTAACATTATTATATATTCATTGTATTTACGCAAATACAATATATCGAATGAAACGTATTTTACCCGTGATCGCGGATGCTGCAAAGCAATCGAAACACTGGTATTTCAAAATATCCTTATGCTTTAAGTTAACAGTTCTTGTTTATATGTATGTGATAGGTATACCTATATTATTGGTTTTCTCGGAAACGACTCAATTGATTTGCATGAAATTTAGTACGTAGATAATGTTGTACCTTCTAAGCACTCAATTTTTTCATTAATATTAATAGATTTTTTATAGAATAAGGGCGCAAAACGAGCACACATTCCACTTAAAGGTAAGTGGATGATGTGGTCCAAAGACATCTAGAAATCTAGCTTTGATTAAAAATAAAAGTGCACGTGCGTTGTCACCCATGAGGACTAAGATGAAATGACTCGTTTCCAGTAAAAAGGGATGTTCGATGCTCTATACTAACTACAAGAAACAAAGCAACATTAAGCTGCTTTTTTATTTTAGTATATTTTGAGTGGGTGGTCCTTCCCTCCGTGTCTGCTGCAACTATAATGTAGCAGCAACGTGGCTCTATCATAATATACGAAATAAAATGTATTCAGATCATAAGAGATCTGAATACATTTTATATGTCTGTATTTCATTTGGTTTTTTTACTGACCTAGATCTCTATCTGGTAGAGCTTCATAACTTTAAATATTAAAATATTTATTAAGAATACACGCACAGATGTTTGTTAAAAGGACCTAAAATTCAATGGAATAGTAATCTAGATATTATTTACTGACTTACACCTAAAGTTTTACCCAATGATTAATAGTTATCCAAAGTTATCAATAGCATTATTATATTAGTCATTATATTTCTACTATTTCTAAGTTGACTATATTTAATAATATTTTGTACAAATTACTGACATTTTTTAAGTATTCAAGTTTTGAAATAAATAAAAATGTTCAATATTTTGATTTCTTTAAAGTTTTGAAAATTCTAGTTATGTTTAACATGAACTTAACAATACTGATAATACTTACTGTTCGCAACTAACACATAGCAAAGGCGGTGGCATTCTTTTAAATCCAATAGGGCATTTATTATACACGATTGCACTGCGTTTCACTCTTATGGGTTTTTGAAATAAGGCTTCAATTGCTTCATTTAATCTATCAGTCGATTCTGTTTGTAGCCACTGCTTTGTAATATCCTCCAAAGCCACAAATCTTGAATTAACAACGTTGGTAAGAACAAGGTAAGTGAGCGCGTGAATAATTAAATTGTTCGACTTCATATCGACACGTTCGTTCCGATCGTATGCTTAAGGCTAACTAACACAGGTGGTGTTGTGTTGACTGATTGAGAAACTGAATGTCAAGGTAGCAGTCGAGGAAAGTGTGCGTGCGCAAATCATAGTTTAAGATGAGTCACCGGCACTTAGGCATCCTAGATTTCGATAGTGAGCTACCGTACTTGCCTGAGAATAGGAAGGAATTGCTGACAGAAGAAACAGCTTTGTGTAGAGACAAAGCTGTTTCTATAGTTCATATAAATGTTAAAATATTTAAATTAAAAAAAATCTGCTGAGTTTCCTGTTGGATTTTCCCAAAACAAAGGTATTTTCCGATTGCTTGCAATAAATAAAAATGTCTTTCAATAACATGCAGTTAACGATCTATTTTGAATAAAAAATAATCAATTATTTTCTATTTCTATTCGCTTTTGTTCCGCTTCCTTTATAGTATTTGTTAGTAATATTTGCCTCATTTTAAGAACTACCTTTCATTTTTTTTACATAAGAGAGAACTAATTAAAACATTAATAAAACTATAATTTTTAACAAATATCATTTTTAATATAAAAGAATATTTTTTTATTTATATATTTTTATCCATGTTCTAAAAACGATAAGGTTCAACGCGTTAGTTTTTATGTACGAGTATGTACACCAATTTCTCGAAAACGATTGAACTGACTTGAATGATTCTTTCTTTATTCAATTGTTTGCTTTATACTTCGATACTTTAATAATTAAAAATCATACCTAAATGTGGTAAAACAGGAAATGAAGATTTCAAAATAAATGTTTAGACGACATTTTCTGCCGACTTCCAAAAAGGAGACGGTACTCAATTCGACTGTATGTTTTTATTATGTGTGTTATCTCATAACTTTGTACTGGGTAAACTGATTTCGATGATTATTTTTTTATATGAAAGCTGATATTTCTCGTGTGGTCCCATATGAATTTGATCAAGGTCAGACCAATGGTTTTTGAGTTATTCTTAATAATTTATATTGAAGTCGGCAGTAGAAAATTTTTAATTTTAAATTATAGTTGTTACCTTTTGTAGTCTGGTCGTACTTTTTATTAAAAGTTTAAATATTTAAATTATCATTATAATTCGTCTGTGTATAAAATTTTAAAACATTCGTTGATTAATAATAAACTAGTGCTCCGCCCCGGTTTCCCACAGTTGATTTATGCATTTCGACAACAGCGCTACCTACCTGATTCAAATGTGAATCTAAATCATCTAGGGACCCATTCAAATACACACAAAAATTGCATCAAAACCGGTCGAGCCGTTTTTGAGTTTTAGCGAGACTAACGGACAGGAATTGATTTTTATATAAATAGATAGAGATTAGAAGCCATTTCACAAATACTCAGAGACAGTCATCTACACTCTGAAACAAAGACAGTATGAAAAAAAACATGCGTGAGTGTCGTGGAACACTCGGTTGGAACGAAGTTCCTTTCGTAGTATATAATTATAGATAAACGTATCATATTATTGATTAACAAATACAAATAAATGAATTACTAGCGCCTATTCAAATGAAGCGCCATTTAAAATAAATTAATATTTCTTTTATAGCAAGATAAGGAAAAGTGCGAGGGAGATGGATATCATTCCATCTCACTTCCTTATAGTCGCCAAGGCCGTCTACACTACGTCAAAAGGATCGTGACGGAAAAATCTTACACTTTTTGTCGTTCAGCCCCCATCCGCCAAATCCGTACCGTCTGATAAGGAACTTCGTTCCAACTATTTAATATATACTGGTAACTTATAACATGAGACTCCGAAGCGTTATACGCTACATCATATTCCCTAGCCAATTTATTCCCCTTCATGAGCATGTAAACATTTCCTGTACTAAATTGGAATGTTTTGCAGAGGTGGATTGAAATTCATAGTATACGATACTTCGCCAGTCATAAACTCATCAATTTTAAGCTTCTTGGAAAATGTATTATTGATGTCTAAGGTATGAGTCGTTTTGTAATGATAATATTCTCAAAATGCATGTAGCGTTTAACACTAGTTAAGCTCTTTTCACATAGAAGACCTGTTGGTGGATACAACTATCTTACTTTATACTGTTACTAAGCAAAGTAGCCAAGCTCTCGGTTTTCTACAGAATGCATTTCGGAGAGTATGCTCAGGAATTTCATAAGTTAATTCCTCCCTATCCCTTCCAACATTGGACAAGCAGACGCTCGGCCAGTCTCCACCCTTTCGATTTGGACTTACCACGCATTCGAGCCAAACAGTTTGCATCACGAATGAAATAAGTTGCCAGCATCTGGCTTTCGATTCCATTACAATGTGCGTGTCTTCAAGGCAAGAGCGAATAGGCTCTTGTTAAGTCGGTGCATTTTACCATCAGGTGAGATAGCAGTCAGGCGCTGGCATAGAATAATAAAAAAAACTAAGCAGCCAACTAATTTTGTGTTCCTATTTGAAAGGAGCGAGGAAAATAACCACTATGGTACCGACTTAGTCCATAGAACGAACACATATGTTAGTTTTCTCGATTTGAAGTTGGGAGTAGAGAAATATTTTGCCTTTTACTTTAGTAATGAAATCTCAGCATAAGCGTTTGTCCACTAAGTTTTTCTTGTAGTACGGTACGTAAGTTGGAAAAAGTACTCTACTCATTCAATTATCGAGGGAAAAACAGCAGGGAGAATTTCAGAGCAAGCAAGGTATACTCAACTGCGACTGGTTGTAGCTGACTGGCCATTTTAGTGATTAAAAAAACAAATGAAAATTAAAAAATTGGCTATATTTAGCCAATTATTATTATTTGCCTTTCTGTCTAACACAACACTTTCTTTTTAAATACAGTATTTGTACAGAGGTTTAAATAAATTTAAAAAGTCATCGTCGCCTTAATCGTTATTTTTATTTTTATATAAAATTAAAGGGAGGCGGCAGAAATAGAAAAGAGGGTGGTTCCTACAAAGATGGACACCTAATAATGGAGTTGTGCCACTTAATAATGAGTTACTTGCACAACCTCCTAAGATATTTAAGACTATCTATTGCAAACCTACGAAATTTTTCTAGTCCAACAGGAATCGACCGATTATGAAATATTTGAAAGATTATAAATTAAAACGAATTTATCGTTATAACCGTTTAGTTTTTAAGTTTACATGAAAAAAATATTACTTAACAGGTAATGGTTACGTTTATTAAAATATAAATACTTGGACATATCACAGCTTCTGTTCACAACCATCTGTCTAAATAAAATTATGAATACTAAAAATGAATAGACTTAATATTTTTAAACATTTGCCACTACACGGTCATTGACCTTGTAGTTGCGGTGTAAGATTATCCACTACTCTATATCATTCCGTGGATGTCTTAAGAGGTCACAGAGGGAATAGCTGCATCTTCCTTATCCATACAAATAAATAAAACTGAAATGTCTGTTTGTTATATCAAAATAACAGTTTTTTACTAAATTCTTTTTTTTTTTATAGGAGAGGGGGCAAACGAGCATGCGGCTCACCTGATGGTAAGTGACTACCGCCGCCCATGAACAACTGCAACACCAGGGGAATCACAGATGCGTTGCCGGCCTTTTAAAAAGGAGTACGCTCTTTTTATAACAAAAAAAAAACAATTTTTTAAAATTTTTGTTTGTCTGTCTGTCTGTCTGTTTGTTCCGGCTAATCTCAGTAACGGCTGGACCGATTTTGATGGGACATTCACTGGCAGATAGCTGATGATAAGCAGTAACTTAGGCTGTTTCTATTTTAGAAAAATAATTAGAGTACCGCGAAAAAAAAAACCTTGAAATTTATCGTAATAAATTCGAGGCGGACGAAGTCGCGGGGAACGGCTAGTAGCAACTATTACGAAAAACTACGGTTGCCAACCCAAGTGTGTTCAACAGTGGACTTTTAATAGGCGGTAGTGGCAATGAAGATATCAACATCATGAATCGTGATGCCGAAGAAATAACCTATATTGCATAGGTTGATGATGCATAGGATGCATAGGATGACTGATGGCTTAATTTTGCCATTTCCATAGTTGACTCTTCTGATTACAACGGGGATCAAATATTATACCTCCACCACACGGTTATAGGTATTTTTTAAAATCTAAAATAAGGTTGACTCATAAGCACACAGTGATGGTAATTAGATACTGTGGCCCATAGACATCTACTTCTATACAATAAAATAAATAAAAAATAAAAAGCCTTTTATTTCTTGCATAATCAAAAAACTAGACAAGGAAAATAATATTTTTTCAACTTTACAGTATGTCTTTGTTTTATTATAGTGACATTATAGTATAACCTGAATACTGCCTTATTTGTTTAATTATTTAAATTAAAATTCTAATTTGGAAGAACCCCTCTGGAGGTAAAGGCCTCCCGAAAGAAATCCTTTTAACCTGTGTTCTAATTTTTTCTGTTAGGTGATTGCCAGGATTATTTTCGATTCGTTTTTTTTTTAAAGAAGTATTTAAAATTGTTAGCCTATTTCCATAATATATTCTATAATCTTTTTTATCTTCATCTATACTCGATTAAAAATCAAAATGGAGATGCATTGTTATTCATGAGGAATAAGATGAAATGCCTCGTTTCTAATAAAAAAGGTCACCAATCCTCTACACTGACCATAACAAACACAGCAGAATTAAGCTGCTATTTCACACTGGTATTCTGTGAGAACGTGGTCATTCCCCGATACGACCCATTCGTGCTACAACTATACCTAACATATCTGCAGCGTGGCTCTACCACGTATAAAAAATTAATATAAGAGCATTCTTTTCAGACGTTCACGGAGTCGATCGAGCTAAGCAATCAGCGGCTAGTCGCTGAGAAACGCAAAAGCGACGTTCTTCTATCGCGGATGCTTCCAATGCCAGTGATAAAACTTCTCAGAGCTCAGCGATCTGTGCCCGCGGAATCATTTGACGCCGTCACAATATTCTTCAGCGACATCGTCGGCTTCACTAACATTTCTGCGACGAGCACACCCATTGAGGTCATCAATATGCTGAACATGCTTTACAGGTATATACTAAGACTTTGTAACATTAACATATAGTTATAGTTACACATTTTTTGTTTTGTGTTGTCCTTATTATACATTTCTAGGGTAAATAAACGAACACTCATGACAAATGAAATACCCCACATGAAAAATTGCTTATTATGCATATTTATGTATCTTTGTTTTTATTTTTACCATGTACTGTGTAGGAATATCCACTTCACAATATCTTTTCTTCTTATCTTTTTGTTTCTTATATTTAAAAAAAAAGTTACCTTTCTTTGTCGTGGAGGCAGTTTACAAACATAAATTGCACTAGGACAAAAATCCAGACCCGGAACAATTATTTGTAGGCCGTATAAACACTTGTTCCGTGCGGGATTCGAACCCGCGGCCCCCAACGCAACAACTCATTACTGAGCCACTGCGCCACGGAGCTGTCAAATCAGTATCATCCCGTGGGTGTAGCAAGAGGCGACAGAGGGAAACAAATCAGAAGATGAGCAGTAACGTCTTGTAACAACGACAAAAAAACTGCGGTTGCCGTTCTGCTTGCCATGCATGGCAACTATGGCAAATATTCCCTCTATGAGACAATTTATGGGAGAGGCCTATGTTCAGCAGTGGATTCTATTAGGCTGTAACGGTAACGGTAGCAGTATGGATCTTTGAGGGATACGATTTTAGTTGAAACGGTCACGGTCAAAAGATGATTTTTGTGATTTTTTTTAACTGTCCACATTTAACAACGTATAATTCATATGTTTTAAAATAAAACTGAAACTGACCAAGTTGTTCTGTTACGACACCACAAAACGCAGCAAATTGAATTTGTATGATGTACAAATATATAACATACGGTATCAACTGGCCAATTCCATTATCTTCTAATTCAAAAAAATTCAAATGAATTCCTACACTTACTAGCTGACCCGGCAGACGTAATTTTTCGGGTAGGATATTTTCAGAGGGCTAATATAAAATTACTTAATAGCTCGACCACAGCGCCACCTATAGGGTTTGGATTATGTGAATTTATTTTAGTACCTTCTAAACTAATATATAATGATTTCTTACATTTACGCGAACACTACACATTGAATAAAATTAAAACTAAATCCAAGCATACCACTACAAGACTTCAAGACACAAATTAATAATTAAAAAAGCTGAAGGTACTCCGGGTTAACTCTGACATCGAGACGTCAATCATCTCAGTCGCCCGTGACCATGCGTGCTGTAAAGCACCCGAAACGTCGGGAATTAATAAAAAAAATTTAAATCCGTAAAAGTAGTTTTATTCAATAAACTAATTTAAATTTAGAATCCGTAAAAGTAGTTTTATTCAATAAACTAATATAGTTAATTGTGAATATAGTCTATAATAATATGGTACATAAATATAAAATTTGTAATAACTTGACTGCAGTGCCACCATTCGGACCCTAGGATATATGTACCAATGTCGACAAATCAAATATATTGTGTGAATATGGACTAGCTATTCAGATGTTACACGATAACTAACAAACACATCTATATATTGAAGATACAACTGCCCACGTACGTCCCACTCCCCGAACGTTACGCCAAACCTACAGAGGCCCCGCAACCTTCTAATCGAACCCCCTGTTCCACTGGATTCCGATGACCGAAATGTCGCCGGCCACTCACACTCCAACACTACACAATCACCTAGTGCCACAAACACTGTTAAGTCAACGACGGATGGGACGCAGCGAGTCCGCAGTCGGGCGCGCCGCACACCCTTCCACACCGCCCCTTTTTACAGCTCGCAGCCTGAAAGACTCTGAGTTCAATGAAGCTGTAAGAGCCGTATAGGCTAACAGCATTAACATCACAGAAACTAGACCACGTACGTGTAAAGCCACACTACAGATATTATCGTTAACACGAATAAGTCGTAACGTCGTCAATAACATGGGTCGGCTCTGGGGAAGTTCCACGCTCTCACAGAATACCACCGTAAAATAGCAGCTTAATGCTGCTGTGTTTCGTATTACTAGAATTGAGGCATTTCATCTTAGTCCTCAGGGGTGACAACGCATCTGCATTTTGATTCTTCATTGAAGATAGATGTAAGTGTCTATGGGCCACAGCATTCACTTATCATCAGGTGGACTGGGTGTTCGTTTGTCATAATCAATTTAAAATAATTAATTTTATACTTACATTGTGATTAAAAATTAAGATAGCCCTCTTACAAATACGCATTTCATTATGTTGTTGAATAAGGTGAAACTTAAGTTAAATTGAATAATTAATAAAGCGGTGAGACATTTTATTTAATTTTTCAACTTATACTGGACGAGAAAAATTGCTTATTTAATAAAGGCCGTTATATAATTATAACCATATTTTTCTTAACTAAATTTCATCGAGACGATAACTTTCAAACACAAATACAGGTTGTCAACTGCGAAAATAAATTTTAGTTCCGGAAATTACACGTAAAGAAGGAAAATAGTATTTTATTTGCTAGTTTCCACAATATGTCCGAATAATTGTATGTTTTGTTTGTTTTTGTAAATAATGTTACCGCCCCAATATCTTCTTCTGTATCGTGGAGGCAGTTTACATACATAAATTGCATCCAGACCCGAAACAATTATTAAGTGGCGAAGCTTGCGAAGTCACTTATTGATTTCACGATGTCTGTCCGTCTGTCCGTCTGTCCCACGATTATCTCGAGTACGGTTTTGAATTTTCAAATTCTGTTTTCAGCAATCGATTACTGATCACCCAGGCATCTGAACCTCCTATTTTGAAACTGATTGCTCAACGGCAACCGTTAGAAACCGCTACAAAGCTGATTGCTTCGCCACTTTGCTATGTTGTTAGCTTGCTAGGTTTATTACTAGGGCATATAAAATACTTGTTATGTGCGGGGTTCGAACTTGCGGTCCTCAGCAAATCTATTCTATGCTAAGCCACTCCGCCACGGATTCGTCATTGACTCCAATGTTACCTTTGGTGTTTCCGGAATACAATTTAAATAAATAAATCGAGAATATTGAATTATCTAAACTATTCATGGTTTGGATAATCATGGCCCGTAACTCAATTGCCCAGTACTCGCACTAGGTATACGTAGATTTTTTTATTTATTGTGACACAAACAGTCATTACAAAGAACGTACAATATTATAACATTACATAATTAACAGACAACGAGTGCCGAAAAAATACATTAGAATAACATTTTAATTTAGCTTGTTGAAAGATTTACCCATGTTAGTTGAAGCTGAGTAGAAATTTATCTTTATGTAACAACAACAGTACAGTAAAGCTTAAAATAGGTAACTTAATTAAAGTTGAAAAACATACATTTATAAGGGACAACAATTAATACATCGTAAAGATTACCGAATGTTACGCTGTTAAGTATATATCTGAATAACTTTTAAAGATACTTGATTTAAGACTTTTTAAGGAGCAACTAAAGAGATCGAGATTTACAAATTCTTTATTGTATAACTTTAACGAACGGGAGATAAAGCAGTTTTGTGTATAATTATTAATTTTCTATAGATAACATTATACCTATAGAAAATTAATAAGGTTTAAATTTAAATTACGGTGGGTTTACGTCATTAGCATTTAGGGGTCGCCTAGAGCGAAAGGGATCATGTTTTATCAGAATACCAAAAAGTTGCGTTGCGTTTGGTTAGTTATAACGTTTTTTTAATTAATACTTTTTGATACATAAATACACCTACACTGTGCTTGATCCGCTAATAAAAAAGAAAAATCGTTTTGTTTTAGATTGTTTGACGAAAAAATAATACAGTACGATGTTTACAAAGTTGAAACAATTGGTGATGCTTATATGGTTGTTTCTGGTCTACCACAAAGGAATGGTAAGTTTTTTTTTTAAATTTTGTCCAAAAATCAGACCTATCACTATTTTTGTATATTAATGTAATAATAAATGTGAAAGAACTATCAGTCTACTTGAAAGTAAGTGACAACTCTAGGCCATGGACACCTGTGCTTACATTTATACGTGGTAAAGCAACGCTGTAGCGTGTTATGACTGCAGCATGATTGGGTCAGCTAGACTGGGCTAGCGCCACGTCCGCATATAATACTAGCGTGAAATATAATCTATTATAATCTATTTCGTATGATCAGTGATGACATCCGGAGACCCCTTTAACAGTATCAAAACATTTCCTCTTAGTCATCATCTGAGTCCTCAAACCCGATTTTTTATTGTTAATTGAGTATAGATGTAAGTATGTATTGACAAGAGAAACCTCTTATTATCATTTGAGATGTGTGAGTAATTTATCGCCCTTGCATCGATAACAAACTCTACAGGTGTAATGTCATATTTGAACAAAGACATTTAAGTAGTAGTAAGTAATAGACCGGACATCAGTAGCAAAATTGTCGTCTGTAACTTATGTCCTATAGGATATATCTTCGACTTTTGTCATTTAGTCTTAGTGACATCGTCAAAAAGTCAAGACGCATTCGTTTCATATATTTAAAAAATATTTTTAAAGAATTGTGAATTAAGATAAGTAAGTCACGATATTGAGCAAAAAATGAAGGTGATTTCGGTTTATTATCGTAAATATGACATATATTTACTGAATAATCTTTAAATCTTATTATTTCTAGTAGATTGTTCTAGAACTTATTTTAGAACTAGATTTATTTTTATTGTAATAAGCGCCCTCTGTTATCCAGTAAACGTCACTATTTAGTTACCAATTTTAAAGTTAGTGATTGACGACGTTTATCGATTGGGATTATCGATAATAAAATATACAGGATGCTGATTTAATCCTTTATAATATTTAAGGAGGTAAAACAGTCAACTATACTGTACCCATACCAATAAAAATGAGTATCATATACCAACTATGCTAAGTACCCTACTTTATGTGGAGCAAGGGTGGGAAATTTTTTTTAGGCATGCTGATGAGATTTTCTGTGTTGCTTATGAGCATGCTGAGGATACTTGCTGGTATGTAAGAAAAAGACTTGCTGTATTGCTAAACATCAACACAGCAAGTCTTTTTCTTACATACCAGGCTTCATTGTCTGGTGGTTTTACACCGGGCTTCATTATCTGGTGGTTTTCAAGGACAAAGCCATTATAGATCCTCGCTTACAGTGATAGGAGAGGGTACTAGATTTCTTACATTAAAAAAAAATTTGTACTGTTAAAGATATTAGATGCAAGAAGTTGTAGGTTAAGCCTGAGTTAGAAAATAAGGTAAAAACTTAAAATAACAATTTTTATTGATGTGGGTAGCGTCTTTAAGTACTGCAGCTGATGAAACGTGAAAAATCGTGAAACGCCTTTTAAGTTCAGTGTTTTCTTAAAATATTTTAGATTTCAAGTGTATTTTTGTAATAGAAAGGAATTTAAAAACATAGAGGCGCTTTTTTATTGGATTTGGCGTTTCTCGATATGTCTTTAACGCCTCAACCGATCAATCACATGCTATTATTATAGCAGCTAATGGAACGAGTGACGTCATGCCACCAAGGCGGCAACCAAAGTGACTGCAATTTGCATTGATTCTTAGTTATTGGAAATTAAATATTTTATTTCATGACACTAAAGAGGCGTAAAAAGTTAATATGATTTTTTTCGTGTGATAGAAGTCATGATAAATAGATTTATACAATAAAACAATCATGTATATTAACTATTATTATATTATTTATTTATTAATTATTATATTAACTATTATTGCCGTGTAGTGGCGGTTAAGAATATCCACTACCCCATATCTTCCCGTGGGTGTCGTAAAAGGCGACAAAGGGAAACAGGCAGGAGATGGGCAGCAGCATCTTCCTGATAATAGCCAAATAACAATAAAAAACTGCGGTTGCCAACCCGCTCGCCAAGCGTGGCAACTATGGCAATATACCCCCCATGAGCAATGACAATAATAAACGGCCCCTAGTCCCCGGCGGCCCCGCTATTCCTGGCTACGGTGGCGACCATGGTAACGGCGGGGCAGGGGGTGCTAAGAATCTCCGGTGGAGGTTCGGTTGCCACCTACGACGACTCGACCTGGCAACATACAACGCACGCACCCTGAGGACTGACGAGAAGATTGTGGAGCTGGAAGAAGAGATAGACAAGTTACGCTGGCATGTTATAGGATTATCCGAAGTCCGAAGAGAGGGGGAGGACACGGTAATCCTCGAATCCGGCAACTTGCTCTATTACCGGGAGGGCGACCATCTGTCCCAAGGAGGTGTCGGATTTATCGTCCACAAGTCTCTCGTTAACAACGTTGTAAAGATTGAGAGTGTGTCGACGAGGGTTGCGTACCTTATACTCAGAATCACCAAACGGTATTCGCTGAAGGGCATACAGGTTTACGCACCAACCTCGGCACACCCCGATCAGGAGGTGGAGGAAATGTATGAGGATATATCTAGAGCCATGCATTCCTCCAAAACCCAAAATACGGTGTTAATGGGAGACTTCAATGCAAAACTAGGCACAAGAGAGAACGGTGAGCTGAAAGTAGGGAAATTTGGAATAGGGCAACGGAACCCAAGGGGCCAGCAGTTGGCTGACTTCATGGAGAAAGAGGGACTCTTTATGATAAACTCTTTCTTCCAGAAGCGGCCCACAGGAAGTGGACCTGGTCGAGCCCCGACGGTTCGACAAAAAATGAGATTGACTTCATTATGACGACCAGACGACAACTGTTCAGTGATGTCTCAGTGATCGCGAGGGTGAAAACCGGCAGCGATCACCGAATGGTTAGAGGCACACTGAACCTAAACGTTAAGTTGGAGAGGTCTCGTCTAATGAAGTCAACGCTCCGTCCCCCTCGTGCTCTAATCCAAAGTCCCGAAACCTTTCAGCTCGTGTTACAAAACCGTTTTCAGTGCCTAGAAGACTGCAATGAAGTGGACGATTTGAATGACAAGCTCGTGGAAACTGTCCATGCGGTCGGAGCTAAGTTCTGCAAGACCCGCCGCAGAAGAACACAAAAACTCTCCGATCACACTCTTAATCTCATGGCTGTTAGACGGGAGATGAAGCTACATTCTTCAACAGATTTAACAGCATACAGGCAACTGAACAGACAGATCTCCAAATGCATGCGGCGGGACTTACGCAACTTCAATACAGCTCGTATTGAAGAAGCGATCGAGCGGAACCAAGGCTCCAAAGTCTTTGCCAGAGATCTGTCTGCCAGAAAACGCCAACTGTCAAAGCTGAAGACGGAATGTGGCAGCATCGTTTCCGGGGCACCTGAGATTTTGAGTGAGATTGAGAGGTTCTATGGGCAGCTGTACACGTCATCGTTGGAGTCGCACGCAATTGTGAGTAACGATCCAAGAGCGAGTCTTATCCGACATTATTCCGATGATATCCCGGACGTCAGTCTGAGCGAGATTAGAATGGCTCTCCAGCACCTTAAAAACGGCAAGGCCCCAGGCGAGGATGGAATTAAAGCGGAGCTTCTGAAAGCGGGTGGAAAACCGGTACTTGAAGTCCTTCAGAAGCTCTTTAATTCCGTCCTCCATGGTGGCATTACACCGGAGGCGTGGAGCAGAAGTGCGGTGGTCTTGTTCTTCAAGAAAGGCGACAACGCTCTCTTGAAGAACTACAGACCGATTTCCCTTCTGAGCCGCGTCTACGTGCTGTTTTCGAGAGTCATTACGAATCGTCTCGCGCGCAGACTTGACGACTTCCAGCCTCCCGAACAAGCCGGTTTCCGAAAAGGCTTTAGTACCATAGACCACATACATACCCTTCGGCAAATTGTACAGAAGTCCGAGGAGTACGATTTGCCACTATGTCTGGCGTATGTGGACTATGAGAAAGCCTTTGATTCCGTTGAAATTTGGGCGGTGCTGCAGTCCCTTCAGCGATGCCCAGTTGACTGTCGGTATATCGAAGTGTTGAAGTGCTTGTACAGTAGGGCTACGATGGCTATCCGAGTACAGAACCAGAGTACGAAACCTATCCAATTGCAGAGAGGTGTAAGACAGGGTGACGTCATATCCCCGAAACTCTTTACCGCTGCATTGGAAGATGTTTTCAAGCTTCTGGACTGGAAAGGATACGGTTTCAACATCAATGGCGAGTACATCACTCACCTTCGATTTGCCGACGATATAGTCCTTATGGCAGAATCGCTGGAGGACCTAAGCACTATGCTCAATGACCTCAATAGTGTTTCCCAACGGATAGGTCTTAAGATGAACATGGACAAAACAAAGATCATGTTTAATGTCCATGTCACACCTATGCCGGTAGTTGTTGGGAACACTAAGCTCGAAGTTGTTGACGAGTATGTTTACCTGGGACAAATAGTCCGACTAGGTAAGTCCAACTTCGACCGAGAGGTCAATCGACGGATTCAACTCGGTTGGGCAGCGTTCGGGAAATTACGGCACATCTTCTCGTCAGGTATACCTCAAAACTTGAAAACGAGACTGTACACCCAGTGCGTGTTGCCAGTGATGACATACGGAACTGAGACGTGGTCCTTCACTGCTGGCCGGATGAGGAAGCTCAAGGTCGCTCAGCGAGCTATGGAGAGGGCTATGCTCGGAGTTTCTCTGCGTGATAAACTCAGAAATGAGGGTATCCGCAGTAGAACTAGAGTGACCGACATAGCCCAACGGATTAGTAAGCTGATGTGGCAATGGGCCGGCCATATAGCTCGAAGAACCGACAACCGATGGGGAAGAAAGGTTCTCGAGTGGCAGCCTCGTACCGGCAGGCGAAGTGTAGGGCGTCCCCCCACTAGATGGAGTGACGACCTGGTAAGATATGCAGGAAGTCGATGGATGCAGGTGGCTCAGGACCGTGCTTTGTGGCATTCTTTGGGGGAGGCCTATGTTCAGCAGTGGACTTGTGAAGGGCTGTAATGATGATGATGATGAACTATTATTATATCGAACAGCATTTCAAACTTAGTAATCTTCAACAACTGGTATCGAAACTTTGGTATCGAAACGGTAACATTCCTAAAATGAGGTTATATTTATTAGCGTCACCTAGGAACCGGGGAATAGCTAAAATGTTGTCTTAATAAGTGCTTAGCATTGTCTTGCTATTTTTAGCTAGAGGGTGCCACACGCGCACTAGTTCAAAGTTTTTGTATATAAATGTTCCCAATATCCGCTCTATAGTATACCTATATATTTAAATGTCTTTGCATTTGAAGATACACATGTATTGTGTTCAATATGCTCTCATTATAGTGACTATATGCCCTTTAAATTAGAAAATTTCCAAAATATCTCCCTTACGAGGGACGAGGTAGGCCGATGTTAAGCTCTGTACATTTGATAGGCTGTAAAGAATTAATTAAATATAGCAGACGATTCACTGCTACTTGGAGGCAGGAAATTAAGTACCAATTGAGGAAATAACGCTTTAGACCGCTCAACCTGTCGTCAATGCTATAATGTCCTGGTAATTCCACATGACATTTATGTAAATCGAATTTTATGAAATTCACGGCACGGTTTGTTGGTTGGCATTTATCTTAATCAACGAATTTGTAGGGTCTACCCAGAAGTCTTGAAATAATCCCGATGTACACTGACACTGACCTACTATATTATACTAACTGTTCGGCGGCAGAAACATTTGATAATGAAGTAGGTACCTACCCACTCCTAGGTATAACATGTGGAGCCATAAATAGGCAAAATAATTTACATAGGTGTTATATCGTTCTTTTCCTAACACCGAGACGGTAGAATATCTTCTAATTATAAGATTACTAGCTGGTACCGGACGCCTTGCTGTAGCAGAAGAAATAATTGCGGAAATATCTTAGTTATATTGTTTAATTGCGAATGATAAAACATTAATTAAAGTTGAATGATATATAATTTTCGAATAAATTTGTCAGTACGATACGTGCGCCACCTAGTGTAAGTTAATTGTACTGTGCCTATAATCTTCGCGGAAGTGCATGCAACATGTTAACAGTTTTACTGCAATCTGATGAACAGTATGGCAGCGCATAAAATACGAACAAATAAAAATTAATAGATTTATATGTTTCAGTGGTATAAGTTCAATGTTATAACTTTGATATTAATTATATTATAAGTAATTTTTTTGGTTTTTCCGCTACCCATCTCGTAATTTAGGTAATAATAATTATATTGTTTTTTTATGTGTATGGACTGACGACCTGGTAAGACATGCAGAAAGTCGATAGATACATGTGGTTCAGGACCGTGTTTTGTGGCATTCCTTGGAGGAGACATAAATTCAGCAGTGGACTATAATGATGACGATGATGAAGTGTCACTATTATAATTATAAAAAAGAACCAACCCACCGGCCAAATCCGGGCTCAATCTCTGTCAGCACCAATGAAATTTTTAATATACAGTTTTAAGTGCCGAATTACCATGTGCTCAGAAATCACAAAAATCTTTCAATATAATATGAAGTACGTCTACGAGCAGGGCTTTAAAAGCCAAGCGAAGCTAAGCTAAGTTTATTAAGAATGGGAGGAGGTCTGCGCTAAGAAGTGGGACGTATTTATGCAGTAATTTTACATACTTTACCTGAATAACAAACATACTTGATCATTACCAGGCAATCGTCACGCATCAGAAATAGCCGACATGTCACTATCATTAATGCGAGGTCTGGAAGGAGCGAGGGTCCCGCACAGACCAGAGGAATTACTAAGGATCAGAGCCGGCATCAACACTGGTCCTTGCGTTGCTGGGGTTGTGGGCACCACTATGCCCCGGTATTGTCTCTTCGGTGATACAATTAACACGGCTAGTAGAATGGAGAGTACTGGTGAAGGTATTATGTTTATTATAATTTTTTACGTAAATTGTCTCCTTATTTTTTTTTGTTTATAAATCTCTCCACAAAATTCGATATGTATGAGATCACTGTAGATAACTCAGTTCACTCGAAGATTTGCAGTGAACGAATGTTGTGGATGCTTAATCTTTAGAAACATTAATTCCTAAAACATCTACGTGATGCTAGAATATCTGTAATTATGTATTCTGAAACACTGTTTCTCATCGACTACGTTGCTTTAGCTTTAAAACAAATCAAAAGTAAAAATAATTATTCTTTATTTTATAGTTTTGTTTTATCCTAAATTTATTTTGAATTAATTAATTATATTACTAATTTTTTATTACATCTGTTTCAGCAATGAAAATTCATATTTCACAATCAACAAAGAAAGCATTGGATGGCATCGGTAATTATGAAATCAAATCCAGAGGAGTTATAGAAATACCGGTAATTGATATTTAAAGATGAAATATATTTTGTTTACAAGAGTTAGCGAATTAATAGCGAATTTTAAAAGTGCCTGATTTAGGCACTTTTAAAATTCGTATATAGTTACTTATAAAATAAGTACTTATAAAATTAGTATATAGACTCCGAGGGAAACGAAAAAAATAAGAGCTCAGTGGATCTTTCAAACAGACAATAATTTTTTACCGTTTTCCAATAGTGTTTACCGTGGGAAATGCAGCACTAAGGTGTTGCTATGTTTCGTATGGTGAGTGTAGAGAACCCGAGATCCTCTTTACTGGAAAGGAGGCGTTCCATCTCAGTCCTCAAGCGGTGAAAACGCCTCTGCATTTTGATTCTTATTTGGGGATAAATATAGATGTCTATAGGCCACAGCATCCACTTACCATTAGGTGGACGGTGTGCTCGTTTGTCACCCATATTCTACAAAAAAGGGAATTTGACACCATTTATCTAATTGACTTCAGCCCCCATTGTCTCCCCTTAATCCAACTTTGTCTAAACTTAATGATGATGGTGATTTGAATAAGATTTGTTTGAAAGAAAGAATAGTTAATTATAGATTAAAAGACGATTGATTAAGATACGACGTTATAAGTTTATTGTATGTCACTCGGGAGGCTTGTTCGGTACACCGTAAAAATTATCAAAGTAAACAATATATGCCACAGTAGAAAATAAAATTAGGGCAACATCTTGTTAATCTACTAGTTTTGAAATTGTTAAAAGTTTGTAGATAGAGAGCGAAATATTTGTTTATGACTATGGGCCGGTTTTCTACCTACTTCAAATAGGAGGAGGTACTCAATTCGACTGTATGTTTTTTATGTGTGTTACCTCATAAATTTTTTCAATGTGAACCGATTTCCATAATTCTTTTTTTATTTGAAAGCTGGTGCTTAACATTTAGTTCCATATAAATTTGATTAAGGTGTGACCAACAGTTTTTGAGTCATTCTTAATAATTTATATTTAAGTCAGTTGTACAAAATTTTTTCTCAGATAGAATTTTCTTATAAGATAGTAACACACATACACATATTTACAGTCTTAATTATTCCTAATCAACTACGACTATCATTACACAAAAGCTCATTATAGATAGTCTTCATAAACTACAGTAATTAGACTCTTTGCAAATCTCTAAAGCATTTAAATGTAATATTCTAGACTTGTCCAAAAATGTTTCGTGTAGTACACATAATAGTTTAATTGTCACCCAAAATATTAGGAGCATATACAAGAATTCTGATGATCCACAAGTAACCCTTTCACAATTAAATCATGATGTTAACATATTGATATTAACTGAATGTAGACTTGATTTAAGTAAACAGATACCATCGTTAAATAACTACACCTCTTATCTATCAGCCAATCTATTAAATCAGGATTATGGTTTCATCGTTCTAAAATAACAGAACTCAGTCTTACCATTGTAATTGGACTTCAAATTGTGATTGCCAACTGTGCTTTTCTTGCTATCTATCGTTCAAATCAATCTTAGTAAGGAACCCTATAACACAATTTTGAAAAAAAAAACTGTTAACGTTGTCGCAACTTTTGCTCTAACCTTATAAAATACTTAGAAGAAATTATAATAGGCAAAAAATAAATAATTCCATTAATCAACTTAAAAATAAAACACAAAATGATGTAACTAAGAATTAATGCTTTACGCAATTTTTCCTTTATCTGTGCTATAATACGTTGCTTCGTACCAAGTTTTAAGATTCTGAGTTCACGGGAAGTACCCTGTAGGTTTTGATTCCCTTGCGAATGTCGAAAATTTGCGGCATAAATAGCTGTATTTTTTGATTGCGTTGGCTTAGAATTTTGATTTTTTCACAGCTCCAAGGGACCGTAGACTTAAGTATTTTATATGAATTTCATCTCGATACCTCCACGCGTTCCTGAGAAAAAGGGTCTTGACAGACAGACAGACGGAGAACAAAGTGATCGTTTTTTTCCTTTTGAGGTACGGAACCCTAAAAATGTGGTTCACGATAAATGAGATTACGCAATATAAACCACCAAAAACTATTAATGCTGCCCTACTTAATTCAAAACCGCATCCTCAAATCTCAGTAAATCATTTTAATAATTAATTTATCAACATTGGGTCTAATTTAGCAGACCTTATAATTAGTCAGTCTGGATCCGATGGGCACATTTCAAACGTCTCTTCGACCAGCTATTCCAATCCCTCCTCGTTTGCCCTGCTAGAGACATACCCTAATGAAGTTAACAGCATATTTATGCGTCTGAACTCCGGCAGTGCACCTGGCTAGGATGGTATAAGCACTGCGTTTTTAAAACATGCTAGAGACTTTGTGGTCCCATATATCATGTAAGTTGGCGAATCTTTGTTTTAGTACAGGAGTCTTTCCTAGTGTTCAATAGATAAGACATAATTATAGGCCAATCTCTGTTTTGACTTCAATTTCAAAAATATATGAGAAGCTCCTGAATAAAAGGCAAATTAATTATCTTAACAAATACAATATTTTATCAGAATTTCAATACGGGTTTCGTAAAGGAAAATCATCTCAAAACACAATTCTAGATTTATTATATTATTATAGCTAAGGAAGTCGACAAGGGATAAAAATGCCTTACGGTCTTTCTAGACCTTAAAATGGCTTTTGACACCGTTTCTATCTCCATTCTTATAGACAGGTTAGAGAGCATTGGCATCGGGGGGATTATGCCCACTCTTTTTAGTAGTTACCTTTGTGACAGAACTCAAGCTGTACAAAAAGATAGCTTCATTAGTGACGAAGATACCGTTAAAATTGGTGTCCCGCAGGGGAGTTTTTACTTTGCCCGACTCTCTTTTTAATTGATATCAATGAATTATGTAACTTACAGGACGTCGGAGGAAGGATTTTCTCTTATGCGGTTAATACCGCTATTGTCTTTACTGGCAATACTTGGGATTCCGTACACCATCTGGCTGCGAAAGGCTTCGCTCCTGTGTCGAATAATCTTTAACTTTAAATATCCAAAAAACGAACTACATCTGTTTTGATACATCGTCGCTATACATCGTCCCTATACATCATCGAAGCCAATCCTGGCTTCAATTATATCCATAATTTATGTATCAAAATCCACAGCTGCCCAAATCTTGAAAATACCTCGTGTGAGTGTCTGCTTATAAATAAGATGAACGAAACTAAATACCTCGGCATCATAGTTGATCAAAGCCTTAGTTGGCACTCGCAGTTGGCAGCTGTTATGTATCAGATCAGAAAGTTAATATGGGTATTTAAATAATTAAGGTCAGCAATGATTATTTTTTATCAATTAAATTAAAATTACACTGTTCAAGGCTTACTGCCAATCATTTTACATCAGCAGCCTATGGGCCAATCATACCCAAAGGGTATGAAATTCCCTGCGTATCCAATATAACAATGCCTTCAGGTTACTGTTGGGGCTTCCACCTTATTGTAGTGCATTAGACATGTTCGCCGATGCCCATACTGACGACTACTTTGCGATCATGCGTAAAAAAGTGGGATGATTGATGTTCAGAGTAAGGGAAAGCTCGAATAGTGTCTTGAGGTTCTTTGCGAAGCGGATAGATAACCCGAAATCGGGTAGGTTTGTCAAGCCACATTTACCAAACGACCAATTTTTTGTGTATTTCTGTCTTGTTTTATTTATGTGTTTTATTAACTAACATTAGATCCTAAGTTTTATTTATATTACTAACATGTTATGGGCCCACGTTGCCTGAAAAATAAAACATTTTTATTTTATTTTATTATTTCATAATGTCTAGCAATCTATTAAAAAAATTACATAGCTTTAGTTCAATGGATAATTTTGTATTGCAACCCAATCTGGGGAGGAGCCACCAAGACTAACTTTTTAGATCTGGAAAGAGCACAGAGGTCTTTTAAAGGTATTTCAAACCTTATAGATTCTTTAATAATACCCTATATCAGATTAGTAAAATTCTCTCAGTTGGAACGCTTTATGTTCTTAACCTTATTCTAAAATGTCATAAATCCAAAGAACTGATATTGTGACACCTATGCCTCTTTTACGTACTGTCTTTGCTATTAGATAGTACACATATCAGTCTGATTTTATATAAAATAAATTAAATAAAATACTTAAAAAATATCGTATGAAATTAAATATATACAAAAAAACTTTAATTCATTGGTTGTATACAGTTACTTATGACGGGGTTGAAAAGCTATTAAATAGAATTGTCTGAAATCTATCTCACCAACATCCGACATTCATAGGCCGGCCATATAGCTCGAAGAACCGACAACCGATGGGGAAGAAAGGTTCTCGAGTGGCAGCCTCGTACCGGTAGGCGAAGTGTAGGGCGTCCCCCCACGAGATGGAGTGACGACCTGGTAAGACATGCAGGAAGTCGATGGATGCAGGTGGCTCAGGACCGTGCTTTGTGGCATTCTTTGGGGGAGGCCTATGTTCAGCAGTGGACTTGTGAAGGGCTGTAATGATGAATGATGATGATGAACATCCGACATTTACACTCTAACAGTATGCTGTCTTTCATATTTGACCAAATAGTCTTCTTACTTATACTTTCTTCATCCACCAACACATACACACTCACCCCGCATCATACATACAACAACACTCCTACACTCACATTCACACACTCCTTAATATACACGTATCTACTAATTACAAATTTTCTAGGGATTAAACTGTGTGTAATATTACTTTTTGTAATCCTTAAGTGAAGTAGCGGGACATATCCAACACTTAGATTATTTACTCTCTAAATAATCTAAGACCCAACACGAGTATCCTCTGATTACTCACTGGGAAGTCTCCGAAATATGTTGTTAACAAGATCACCTTTATTTATATGAATAAAATAGTTCAATGGTTTTACCTTTATATCCACTCAGGTTATAATTTATTTGACGGATAACCTTTATCTAACTATTGAAAAGCAGCCCTAAATTATATAATACAGATTC